AAGTACTTCCAAAGTTGCAGCTGTTGTGGTGCCGGAGGTGGAAGAGCTGGTACGTGACCGTGTTGGGCCCAGGCTCAGTAGAGATGTGGGGGAACACCAGCTTCCCACACGGGCTCTGCAACTGTCCTTGTTCATTTACTTGTTCGTATCCTCCCCCGAAGGTAAGCCAATCGAATTACAGCGTGTGCTTTTTCATCTTGACCTCTCCAGTCACTCACATAATACACATGCTATCTGTTCAATAAACAGTAGCTGGATGAATAAAAAGGAAGGGACCAAACTGTCCTTAGCCCAGAGTGAGAGACTGAGTTGGGCTGACCTATTTGCTGTAGTACTAATGCAGCCACCAGACAAGCTGGGGATTCTAGTGTATCTGTCCTGTGCTCCTCAGCTGGTCTAGGGATGGCCTCTAGCAGCTAAGTCTTCATTTCTTTGATCAGTAACCCTAAAAGAAGAAGAAGAAAAAACAAAAAACAAAAAACAGAGTCTTTATTGTCTGAGGCTATAGGACAGCTCACAATTTTCTCCAGTCCTTTCACCAAATGTATATCACCTGATTCCAAATACAAGCAGCACTCAGACATGTTCCATCTGTTATTTGTCACCTTGGCAGGTCCATTTAGGGAAATCTAGGGCAAAATTCCCATCATACCTGTGCATAGGGAAAGTCCAAATTCTCTAGAATAAAGAAATAGACAGTTAGTCCTCTGTGTGTGTTATGCAACTGATCTGTGATGTCAGAACTCCAAAGCCTGGTGCTAATATTCCGAAGGTTTATTGTTCTTGTCATTAAGAAACTAAGCATAACAGTTACGTATTACAATAAGATTTTAAAAGTTAAGTTCAAGTTCTAAATATAGTAAGCCTTAGAAATTTTTACTCTAAAATCACATTGGCATATTAAAAAATAAATATACACTCAATATGTGTATTTCAAAGCATCACTGTTCAGATAAAATTGAGGGAAATTTTTGTTTAAAGTAAACCAATACATAGATATTTAAAAAATAAAATAATTCTAATGAAAATAGACATCTTAGATAAGATTTATTATGTTAGTCACTTCAGATGTTCTGAGAACCTAGGATTTCCTTTTCACTTTTTGAAAGTAGATCCATTATTTTAGCCTGTCTAAAGTAGGGAAGTGAGAAAACTATTGCTTAATTTTAGTAGAAGAAGAAATAGTCCATGTTTTAGGGCTATACGATAGAAGTGAAAATGAATTTCAAATGTGTTTTAGTTAGACCAATGACATTTATCTGTGGTTTTTCAGACTATCCAGCAGGTTATCATGTTTGCATACTTAAAATGCCAGAAAAATGCACTTAACAGCAGAATGCAGATCAGAGAAAAATATTGTTTATATAGTGGCAGGGGAGATTCTTCCTGTAAGTGGAAAGCTTCAAGATATCTTTCAACTAACCCAGTGTTAACAGATTTCTTAAATTTTAATATTCTTGGCCAGTATATAGATGTTTTGTTCCAAATTATTCAGCTCAGTCACAGCAGTCCTGATAGTTTCAAGATAATATTTCCTCTAGACTTAGTACCTGCATCTTCTCTTGACATTTAAGAAATTAAGATATTTATTCGTTTTTCAGTTTTTATCAAATAATTGAAGAAGTTTTCTACTAGGTAGTTAGAAAATGATTCCTGCCCAAATGGAATTCTTAAATGACTGCCTTTTCTATCCTTGCTTTATACCAGTCTACAGCGGTCATTCTTACTTAGAGACAAAGTGACAAAATGTCTTAAATAGTATAAACTTACATCTTCCAACAACTAAATGATTTTATTCCACTTCCCTCCACCCTGTCTGGTAGGCAGGCTGCACCCAAATTGAGTGACATGGAGATAAGAAGTCACCAAGTCGATGTCACATCTGTAGCTGTGTCTTGTGAATACTTCCGTGTTTCCATAGTGAAAAGACAGGAGAGTTCTTCCAGTAATATTCAAAGGGCTGGTGCAAGCGTCAGCTGTAACTGGTCATTTCAATCTGACTGCTGTAGTCACTACCCCATATTAAGTCTTCAAATGGGAAGAGTCTATCTAGTTCCCGTTGGCATGACAGCCAAGGCATGTGATGTAGAATCCAGAAATAGTGAGTTTATCCCAATTTAACTTTTGAAATGATTTTGACTACTAGAGATGCTCAATTTATAGCCTTTAACAAGTTACATTAGCTTACTCTGAACTGCTTGAAATAGTCTAGAACAAAGAACTGTTCACCTCAAAATTAAGACATTAATTTTAGCAGCAGGTTTTTACATACTGACATGCAGGCTGCTAAACATGGAGGCAAGTGTACTCTCATGCACTTCCTGTTTTCCTATAGTTCAAAATTTATTTTGTATTTCGGGTTCTTTATTTAAATTTTAAGTTTTATTTTTTTAACCTCTGCATTAAACACTGCGTCTGGCACAGAGTAGGAACTGAAATCATGATAAATAAATTGCGCTGAACACGCTTTATGTTCTTTTGGTGAAATTCTTAGAGAAAGATACACTTCCTTGAAGCATTAGTGTTGGTAACTTGAAAAGTTACAGTTGAAATAATGTTTTTAAAGAAAACATCTAGGCATTTAGCATGGGCCAAAATACTCTTGTCAGTCAGGTGGGACTCCCACTGAAATTCTTCATCCACAGCATGACTATTCCAAAATCCAGACTCATGGTGTGGGCAACCAACTGGGATTGAACTTGCCCCCAAAGAATAGCCAAAAAAAAAGTTTACTTATAGGACAGTCATTACATTTACTTCCCATGAAGACCTGTTTACTTTTGTGAGTAAGATGAGCATTGAACATACTATATTGATAGAAATGTTGCAGTAGAATATAATTTATATCTGCTGATACAGTTTCTCCGAAGGTGTAGCTGTTCCACAGAGCATGCCAAACAGAAGTGAGGAGTGAAGTGGTCCGTGTTAATTAGCCGCCCTTAAGCAAATCATCCAAAGAATTGCTCACTCACCCCACCTGACGGGAATGAACATATGATTGTATTTAGTAAACTCCTGTGAATATATATTGTAGAAACATTTCATGTATCTAGCCTTCCCCAGCTTCTTTTATGATCTCATGTTACTGGAAACAATTTAGGACAAACTGGAGATGAAATAAAAAAATGGATGAGATCAAGATTTCTCTGTCTCTCATTCTCCCTCCCTCTCTCTCTCTCTTTCTCTTTCTCTTCCCTCTTCCTTGCCTTAACTGATTATTTTTTTTCTGTCACAGATGTTACTAATGATGCATAAATTGCTGGAACCAATATGGAAAATATTGCACAAAAGAAACACTATCTTTTTACTTTTATTGCCAGGTATAATTGATTCCATACAGTCTGGCCATCATTCTTGTTGATTCTATTTCTTTCAGCACAGTAATATATTATCTTGCATTGACTTTGGATGTTTTAGTTCTTCTCACTACTTAATAATGATATCAGCTCTTTCAGGG